TTCCACCAACTTATTTTGACAATAATCCTCTCACCACTCTTCTATACAAATGAAAGTTAGCCAGACAAGGCCAAATCATTTTGGCATATTCGATTCATCAAAGGAGTCATAACTAGGTGCGATTGCACGTGAAATTACTTTCGCACAAACTTAAAAGTAACACTAGTTAGCAAAAATACTCATGAATAAAATAGAGACTACTATCTAAGGCAGAATAAATTTCACAATTATGATACTAGGTTTCTATTAAAACCAACTTGTGTTGGCTCCCTTCTCGATTCTATTGCACACCTTGTTAATTCATGTAACTACGCCTTCTATTAACTTGCTTATTGGTATTGTGGTTCTATGAACATGCCCAACGTAAAGCATTTTGAAGCAGCGATCATTTGAGTCTTTCTTAGAAAAGCAGTTTTAGCCTGTTGATTCGACCAAAATGCTAGCCAATTTGTATTTAGAAGAACTAGTTTTCATAGGGAATACTTTAATATGGGTAAAGCAATTTGAAAAGGAAATGAAAACAGTAGTGGTTTTGCACATCGAGTCTGCATCATAGCAAAGTCGGCTGCACTTATGCACATAAGAGGATCGCTATAACTTAATGCCGAAGTCCAAATAAAATTCTTAACTGACCGTTTCGGCAAGTCCACATTTATGCTGGCAGGACTCTGGTTGGTTCGTATCAGCAGAAGGACTTTGCTCGAATTGACGCCGTGTCGACTCGTTTCGCCTCTACACGGTTGTGGTTTCGTAGTATCTTTTTTACCTGACGCCACTGTGTTGCACATCGTCTCGGTTATTCGTTTTTCACCCTCATTCTCTTCGCACATAAAAACTCATCCTTCATCACACTTATCTCTGTTCATCTGATTCTATACGGGCTCCTCAATACCTTATTTTGCCTTCTATCTTCTCCATTCTATCTATGTGCCTTCACACATTCAAGTGAAGCATAGTGAGCAGAAGGAAGAGCAAAAAATCTGATCATTCATGTTAACTTTTTTTGTCCTCCCAAGGCATTGAACATTTAAAAATAGCTTAACACAATCTTTGATGCCCTGAACATATGTACACAATTCTAAGACTACCTATCATGAGCATACGTCAGGCACTTCCAGTATCTTTTAAATGTTCTCCGTTTGTTTTCCTTTTAGGCGTCATCTGGAAGTTGTAGCCATGATGTCATGTCATGTATTGTTTCGCCTAACGCAGCCACGGCTGTCTAACATGTATGTCCATGTAGGTTAAACTAATATATCAGATAAATGATGTGTTCACCCTATTTAGTTTAGGGTGATGAGGCTTTGTTTGCAGCCCCGGATGAAAATAGGCTCTAATTCAATCATGAACGGTTTTTAGGATATTATGCTCATTGGCTGATTTATTCTGAATAACGAGTGGTGTCTTCAGATATACATTTTATGGTTACTCGAGTATGATTGCATGGGTGTCTTCTCTCAACTCGTTTCTCTCAGGCCAGTAGCTTGTTTATGGCATGACATGATAACTATTTAGGCTTTTCCGTTTGGAACAGTGCCTATTTTAATTATTCACCTACCTACTCTTTAGCTATCTCGGCTTTTAATGCCATCATACTTTGTTTCCATAAATAATATCTACCAACTGGCTCTTCTCCCATGTCAGGAGCGAGAGAAGAAGTTCGTCCTGCCTTTGGAAGGGCTGAAACAGCGTGGTGGAGACACTGGTTTCTTCTCAAAAAAGCCGACATTCGTTATATTCCACACCGACCCTCGCGCAAATGTCTACAAGGACCATAAGACCTTGGAACTGGCAGCGGACTCTGTGGACGCAATGGAGTCATGGAAAGCTGCCCTTCTGAGGGCCGGCGTCTTTCCTGAGCGTACGGTTAATGCAGATCAGGTTAGTGTATTTCTATTCATGCCTTTAATAAATGAATTATGGAAAATCTCGCCTACCTTATATTTACCCTTTTTCTTACTTGGCGGTTAGCTTGTATGCTTATAATCTATTTCTCTTTCTTTGGGCCCATCTTCTTTTAGTCAAACTCTATCTATCTTATTTCCTCCGAACTTTATCACTCATCGAAGATATGAGGACCAAGATGTTGTGGCCACTGGTATGGTCGCAGTCTCTTCTCGATTTATAGAAGTGGGTTGACCTCGTTCTCGCAACTTGATCTTGTTGTCAGGGCGACTCAATAGAACTCACCTAGTCCGAAGTCGTCTGCCATAGTATTTGTCATGATTCCCAGCATCAGACAGTGGACTTGGTACATTCTTAAACGTTTCGCCAGCATCGTAGTCGGCATCATGAGTGAGTTTTGCTATTCTCCGCACCAAGCTACGAACTCGTCAAAGAGGCAAGTAAAGTCAATCCCTCGACAAACGTTCTGCCTTAAACGGTTGCACTATCACTCCTTTTTCGGTCCTGGCCTATCTATAGACTCTTTACCCTATTATCCAACTGCTGCTCTATCACAACTTATGATTTGTTTACATTCCACTCGTCAAAATGTGTACCCTTTTGTGGCAAATATAGCGTGGCCTTATAATACTTGCTATTCACTTCGCGCCCCTCTCTTTCGATCGGCTGATCCGACTCGGGCCTCCAATCCGGATCCCCTCATTGTCTCGTAGATCCGTTCCTTATCTTTTTGGTAGATCGATTTCACTCGGTTCCAGTCCCAGTGTACATTTCATTTTAGGCGCTATTTCTCAAGCCCCTAGAAGCAAGTACACTGCCGCCTTACTGAGCAGAGCACCAAAGCTCTGATTCCCATGCTTGCAGCTATCAGGCC